CTGTGGGTGGAACCTCTTAAAGAATTATTCTAATTTAATCTGTGATGTCGTGTATTTGTATTTTAAGCAAACATGGAGAGTGTTTTTTCATTGTATACCATATTTGCGATTATAGTCCGATTATATTTTGTAGAGGATGAGTACTGAAGTCTCCCAGGCGGAGGTCAGAAGCTGCCCTGGGGTCTAATTGGTGGGTATTTTCTTTTATATTGTCACTGTGCAGGCACCTCTTCTAACCTATAACACTCATGCTCAGGAGATGTTAGCAAAGATGTTCAGGCTAGTTTTCATCACCTGCTGCGGTGTCTTTCTGTCCTGGGCCGTGCACATCCCATTCCAGTTCCTATTGTTTCCAGTGTAGAAGCCTTTTATTCGTCCTATGTAAGATTTAAGAACAAGAAGCAGGGACAAGTTGTCATGCATCCTTAAGAAATACAGCGGTTTTTTTTACTTATTGAAGATATGTGATTGCACTCACATCTCTGGCAGTGGTAGCAGCAGCAGTGCTGTGATTCCGAGTGGATACCATTAAAGAAAGCTCACCTTTCTCTTGGTTTAATAGTCCTGCGATTTTTCCTTGTGATGCAAAGTTACAGTATGCCAATTTGCCAGTGTACCTTGAACGGGGCATATCGTCCTACTTGTAAATTGTGGTATTTAAGTCAGGGCTGGTGCGTTTTTCTCAACATACTGTATATACAAGTCTTTAAAAAAGTTATTTTATTGGCCGGAGTGTCAGCTGACGGCACACAGTGTTCTGCCCATGTACCCCTCAGCATCGGCCCTTTACTATTGGCTTTAATGCTGCAGGCTCTGATGTGAGGAATTGCCATCTGGCCTCCTTGTCATGCAGAAAGCTTTGAATAAAGATGTGCCTTTGCATCAGGTTGCACTGAATATAACATTTATAGAGCCAAGACTCAGCGCTGGGGCTGCTCTGGTGGTGTGGGCTCAGAAGTCTTCACCTATAGAAAGTGAGGTTTGGCTCTCAGGACTGATGACATGACGTTATTTTAGAAAAGTTTAAATATGGAGAGGATCTATGTGTACAAATATCTTGTTTGCTTGCAGGCTACGGGGTGTCTTCTTATGATTATAGCTCTGTATTTTCAAAGGACAATAAATCCTCTTTAGTTTTATTACTAATATGACAGCCTGTTTGCCTAATCACATGGACATTCAGTGTAGCTCCCTGTGAGATATCGTCTGTTCCTGGACAATTTACAGATACCTATGAAACAGATGTCCCCTTTAATAGGGAAGTGCAACATGTTAGAATTGTAGTGCTTAGACTATTAATCAATTATGTATTTGACAGATAATTTATCTACAACAATAGTTTTATCGATTAGGTCATTTATCAAGCAAACATAGGAAACACGTTCTGTCTCCAGGCTCTTTAGTTTCGGTTTTGCATCTATGCCAATGAAATATAATTGTTTTGGCTCAAGTGGTTTGAAGACATTAAGGATTCCCAAAGCTTTGGATATATCAGTATTTTCACTTAATTAAGTGCCTTTCTGTTTCAAAGGGTCCGGATCGTTTAACCACAGTTCTGTGTGTCATACTGATCTATTATGGTATTATAGTTTCCAGACATGAATAGGAATGAGTTCATCATGCCTTTTCCACCTGTTCTGTACTGGGGACATGCATGATTTAAATGTCAACATGTAAACTGCTCTTTCTTTAAGGTCAAAGTGTTGTGATTAGTCATGGCTTCTTTGTGTTATCCTTGAAGTTTCAGTACATGTAGTGCTTTCTCTGTAAGGAATGCACTCAACGTTAGTAAAAGTGGTTTTATTTATGTGTCTGCTGTAATTGGGTTCAGAGACCTTGTTTTAACAGCAGTAGAAAGACTTAAAAGCACTATAATGATGCAGTAATAGTTTGTTTACCGTCAGGCTACCTTGAAATAGTGCTATTGTGGGAGTCCGGAAATACTTTAAAAAAAGAAAGCAAGACTTTATATGTTCTCAGTGTTTGTTATTTTTCTTAATTTAGGGTTAATGCTCTTAGAAAACAATACACCGCTAATGTTTTTTCCTTGTGAGGCAGGATGTGTTTATCTGTCTGGGGAGAGAATGTGTCTCTTAATAACATTAGAAAAATGTAAGATCTGATTATAAAACTTTACCAACCCTGTCTCCTAAAAATTACGTTCCCACAGAACTAAACTGCATTCTCAATTACGTTTAGCTAGAAACTTATTTTCTCCCACGTTACGTTCGTTATGAACGTATCTCAAATACGTTTATTTTTCTACATATCTTCTAGAAACATATTTTCTCCCACGTTACGTTTGTTATGAACTTATCTTAAATACGTTTATTTTCTACATATCTTCTAGAAACATATTTTCTCCCACGTTACATTTCTTATGAACGTATCTTAAAGACGTTTATTTTCTACATATCTTTGCCATTTATTGTCTTGC